AAGCCCCGTATATTTTAGTTATTATTTCACTTTTAAAAATTAGGGTCTCATGATCAAATAAAGGTATGATCTAGAGTCCTTACTCAGCCATCAGATAGACTCTCTTTGGATTTCTATTTTCTATATTTGCAGTTAGACAATTTATTTTCCCCCCACTCGGGTCATTATTGTATGTGAAGGGTTGGGGAAATTATTGTTCTTACCCCCCCCCAGATCTGTAAATTTGTGTTTGAAAAGAAATACCCGTGAATTTTTTAGTAAATGAATAAATGTTAGATAGTAGTAGATAAATATTTCATCTCTAGAAAAAAAATGTCATTCTGGAGCTGTTATAGTATTAGTGTATGTATATTTATATCTAATAGGCTTAGTATTTCCATAGAAAACCTTATGGGGATCTTTATTCTTACCTCAGAATGCAGTATCTGTATAAGATATATGATATTTTTGTTGTAACCAATTGTTTATACTCAAAAAATAGAAATTATTTTAACATCATTATTATTTTAAAACACAGGTAAAGAGGTAAATCAGAGGACCCCCTTGCAACAAGGAATTTTAATTCTAGTAATGAGTTTTTGATAGCTGTGGTATACTTTATCCTCTCAGTGTGTACAAGTAAGTTTTGGTTGTACTGATTTTGGTCATTTATTGAACATCCATATGTGCTCTAGTGATCTACTTAATTTGGGTTTGTTTTTAAAGGTTGGAAAGCCTTTTTTGTTAAGTTAGTCTTTAGAAATGTTAATTCTGGCATTCTTTTACTTACTGTGCTGAATGAAAATTGAAGTATTATCTGTCAAGTCTCCTGGTATGTTTTAGGAGCTCAAAGGTGAATGAGACACCATCTTTGACTTTAGTCAACTGGCTTGCTTATTATATAATTTATATCAGGATGTCTTTGTGAACTGAAAGTTGTCAGGGAAATCCATGAGTTCCCTTAAAGTTCATGATGTATATATATTTGCATTTTCCTGGGGGTGATGATCCAATGATTTTGTCAGATTTTTAAAAGACTCTCAGTATCTAGAAAAGCTAAAGGAACAGTCCTGAACTATAATTTAGCATAATATTGTAATAATAAGTATGCAGATAAAGATCTTTGGGAGATTAGTGTAAACATTGGAGTCCACAATGGCACAGCTCCTACTTGGGACTCAGGAGGTAAGCCTGGGTTCCGGGCTGGTTTCAGGCATCGTCCTAGTGCAGAAACACAGTGGCTGCTATAGAGTACTGTTTCTATCAGTGAGGGGCCTGGTAGTGATGAATGATGGCTTTTCGAAGATAGTTTAAGTAAGGGACTATTTGCAGAGCTGTAGTCCTGGTTTCAAATATCCAAAAAGGGATAATGAAGCACCTAGGGGCCAGCCACAGTTGGAAACTCTTATCCATGCAGGCAAGAGGGTCAAGAAGTTGAAAATTATGTTTTGGAATCCACTGAAAGTGTAGGTATGGTAAAGGAGCTACTCAATAGGAACTTTGGCCAAAAAAGGAAATAACAAGGAATAAATTGTATTATTATTTCTGTCTTCTTCCGCCCTTTGCTTTCTGCTGATGCTCCCTGTTGCAAAAGGCAGCGTCTTGTGCTTGGTCTTTTAACTCTGTATTTGAAATGCTTGCTTGCTGGGAACTGAGTGAGCCCAACCTCACAGCTTCTGCTCTCCTTATCTTCTCTGTGGGACCATCTTCACCTGTTTTTCGGTTCACTGAGTACTCCTTTATTCTGTTTAAGCACAGGGAATGACTCTCAGACCTGCGCCCTGCCTTCAATACTTCAGACTCCGGTTGGTTATAGAGGGGAAGGGCTTTGTCTGCTCAGCACAAAATGGGTGCTGAACCAGTTCCTATTTGTTGACCGACTGCTGAGGGCACCCTGAAACACACAGTTGGAGCTGATCTTACTCTACTTTGTGTGATTAAAATATGTTCTACCCTGTGCTTGACTATGAGTTTCAGCAATTCTGATACCAAGATGCATTAAGTACCGTGTTGATGGAATGGTCCCCTGGAGTTGGATACTGGAACATGGTGTTCTGTTCTATACTTTCTGTCATTGGCAAAACCCATCAGAAACTGGATGGAAATAAAACTGGATCGTATAGTCTTTACAGATGAGAGGCAAAGGGACAGAGTATGCCACAGAAAGGTAGAAATGGATCAAGAGGAACAGAAAAAGAATAATTAGCAGAGTGCTCAATACTTATTTTTTAAATTACATTGAATTTTTGTTGTTAAAAGCAAGTTAGCCTTACATGTTATAGCTAGAGAAAAACTGGTTTAATATTTCTGGTACAAAAACCTTGAAATAAAAATCTCGGTGGAATTGTACAATCAACTATTGATTTTTTATGTTTTGAATAATTAAAATAGTAAAGTCATGACACTAATCATTAATCTATAAAAATGTGAGATTAGAATAATTCACTTGTTAGCCCTCTCTGTGTGTGTATACACCCCCCCACACACACACATATGTAAGTTTGTTAGAAAGAGACAGGAGAGAAAAAGACAGTTGCATAGACACAAATGGGCAGAAAGAGCTGCTGTTAACTGTATTTCCTCTTGATCCATTTTTTAAATATGCATTATTTAAAATGTGGAATTGTGATTACTTAATATGGGGAATACCAGTATTTTCTATGGTCTATCTGAAAAATCACTGTGAATCTTTTACTCAGATTTAAGGATTGTAGAACCTTGTTAGTAAGTTATACCTTTTATTTTCAACCATATCTAGTTATTTTTATTGATAACATTGTGTTAAATACTTTACATAACTTTACTAGACCTTATTCTGACAGTAACCGTAGGAATGAATAGATATTATTGCTTGGTACTTGGTACTTGGTATGACAGTTGACAGAATAAATTTCAGAACAACCAGAAAGCTTTATGTTCTGATACTACTATTTCTACACCATGATGACTTTGTTGTTACAATTAGTATCCCATAGTTATCTTCTCATGTTTGTTAGCCATTTAGATTTTTTCTTATCAAGTCCCTGATCCAGTCTTTTGCCTGGTTCTTAATATTTTTTTCTTCTTTTGGTTTGTCTGTCTATTACTGTGGAGGAAATCCATAGGTATTTTTGGATCTTTTGCTAATTGTTAGGTTTTACAGATCACTTCTCCCATTCTTGTGGCAGATTCATGTTGAAATTTTAGGAGTAGATAAGATCTGGATAGACAGAGATGATATTTCTATTCAGTAGAGTGAATAAACAACATTATAAGGAACAAAATCAGACTCATACATGAAACAGTTGACTGGTTTGGTTGGATTGAGGGTCCTTAAGGGAACTAATAAAAGATAAACTCAACATATGTAGCGCCATGAAGGCTCTAGGAAATGTCAGAGACATACCACCATAGAACATATTCAAATCAGTGTCTCCCTTCTGTTCAGAAGTAATTAAGACTAGACAAACTGAAAGAAACTGTTTTGCCTTTGTGGCTACCTAGCTTTAGGCTTTTCCCTTTTCTGCTAGGGAATCAATCTTCCTTTACTGAAATTGTCTGCCCTAGTGTCACTCCTGCTGAGAAGGGAACTTTTAGAATTGGAAGTGAGGAAGAACCTATATGGTCTTGCTTCATCTTGTCTTTGAAGAACTCCAGAATTCTAAGATAGACTTACTGGATAGTAAATCATAAAATACCTTCATATAACTATAACTGCCTCATCGAGTCGATATTTCTTATTTTTTTTTTTTTTTTGAAACTTAGGCAACCCTTAAAAAAGAAAGAAACATAGTCTTTACCAAACTAACACAGTGTTAATCCTAACCCAGCTTATAGCAGCTAACAGTTGACAGGTTCTGGGATGGAGCTGCAGGCCTAGTAAAAATTGTCCGTTAAAAAAGGGATTAAAAGGGTCCTCCCTGATGGCACAAGAGATTAAAGTGCAGCACTATGAAGTTATCTATCTGCAGCCACTACAGTGTGAGTTAGATCCCCTACCATGGAGGTGACCCACATGGCACAGCAGACCTCTCCTTTCTCACCCACTGCTCCCCTCAGCAGTGTATTTCAGTAGATTTGCCTCTTCTGTTCCCCTCTCTGTCTCTGGTGAATTTTGTCACTGCCCCTGCACCGCTGGATTGTCCCAGTTCTTATCTGCATAAATGAATGCATCTTTTAAGAAAATGATAAATAAATAAATACACACACATATACGTACGTGTATACACATACACAAACACATATACATACACATCATATGTTTTAAGTATTTTTTTACAAAAGCAAAATTCTCCAGTGTTGAGGAAAAAGTATATCCTAAAATGATTTAAAACACTTCTTCCTGTTCAACTTCCATTGATTATTCCAGAGGCAGCCCTGGAATAACACTTTAACAAGAGCCAGCAATCCTTTTTCAGTCTCTTCCCATCTATCCTTGAGTACTATACCAAGAACTGATTATTCCCTGGGAATGTTCACCTCTGCTACTAACAAGAAATTGATTGCAATTTCAGGGCTAGATTTCTGGAAACTTGTTAAAAAAATATCCTCACTCTTTCTTTCTTCAGTGAGGCTCCTACAAAATCTCTGAAAGATCAAGGTGAGCAGTGAAAATAACCCAACCAGGAGACTAGGCTGGGTAGCTGGAGCCCCTTTCAAAGCAGAGACACCCAACATCTTACTCTAATTCTAACCTACTAAGTAAAAATGAGTAGCTTCAGGCACCAGCCTGTTGACCCTTACGAAAGGTGCTCCTCTCTCCCCACTTTGGCTATTATTCAGGTAACAGAGGGGAAGAAGAGTGAATGAATTCAAATACATGGAAATTAAATGAAAATCTTTTATTAATCTTCATTGAAAATTAACTAATATATAGTGTTCAGCAGTTGTAATCCCATAGACTTTGCAGATTTTTTAAAGTTCTGTTCTTCATGGCAAAGCGTGAAAAAAATGTAGTATTTAACACAATTGCTCTCATTATTAAGAATGATCTACTTTTAAGACCTACTGTGTAACACTAAGTGATAATTTTTTCTTCATAGGCAAGAAGTTTGATAGCTGTGGGGCTGGGTGTTGCAGCACTTGCATTTGCAGGTAAGATAAGGAAAGGATACACATTAATATATTTAGCAGGAGAAATATTACCTAATAGCTTCTGTAATGATTTATAAGCATAATCTGGGTATTCTAAGGTGTTTGACTTTAAGATATTCTGTAATAGCATTCTTTCTACCATTGATAGTCACTGAACATTTATCAGCAAAATCTAGAAAAACTTGGTAGTAAAAAAAGATACAAAAGTTAGGAAAACTAGCCTTAGTAATAGTCGATCTGCCTTTTTTGTTTGTTTGTTTATTTTTAGTATGATCTATAGTTACTAAAAAAAAAAAAATAATTGCCTTTTAGTATGAGCAATGTAGATGAAATGGGGTTTCTTCACCCTCCCAAATGTATTTATCTTGAAGGTGAGATTACATATTTCCTGCTTTGTAAGTTCTTTCTGATCAGCATAGTTGTTCCCTATAGTGTACATTGTTACTTCATTTTTTTTCATTCTTTTACAGCTAAAATCACCTTTTAAGAAAGAATGGTTATAAAGCGTAAAACAGAATTGTTCCCTTCTAGTCATTAACTTAAATTAACTTAAATTTTAAATAACATAGCTATTCCCTAATTAAATTATCTAAGAGCATGCCCTTATTGATTAAGATTTACAGTTTTTGTCGTAGTATTTGCATCTCTAGATAGCATCCTCTAAAATAACTAGATGGTTGAACTTTCTGTAGAAATCTTGATTCACAAATAAGGTTATGGGAGATTGAATTAAAGCTAAGCATGGCATATAATGGTTTTGGCCTCCTGGGACAAGGCACTAGTATTAGTTGACATATATTTGGGCTAGGATACATAAGGTAAATCAGCTTGATTGGTCCTCAAAATAATTGAGAACCTGCTTTGTGTCAATTCTTAGATTATTAGGATGCCTAAGAAAGGTAAATCTAAAATAAGTTTAGAAAAGTAGTCATCCTCAGTGAGAAATTAGTAATAAACTTACTTGTTAAATATTTCTATGTAATTGCTTTTTTTATTTTAGAATTAACTGCATTATTATCAATCCTCTGTTGTGTAGTTTTTTTTTTTTTTTAAGATTTATTTAATTATGCATACAGAACTGGGGTACAGGCCAGAGGTGCAGGGTCTGTGAGAAGATTCAACAGAGACAGAGTGGGGAACAGAGCAGGCCGACTGACACTGTATGCTGCTGAAGCCAGCAGTGGGCAGGTCAGGAGAGGTCTGCCATGTCATGTGGATCACCTGGGGGTGGGGCGGGGTGGAGGATCGAACTCATGCTGAAGTGGCTTTAGCTTCTTAGTGCTGTGTTTTAACCCCACTGAGCCACCAGGGAGGGCCCTGTTGTGTAGATTTTAAGTAGTATTTGTTTTCTATTGTTGCAAAGTGATTATCTTTGAAATATAATACAAATAATCATTTTAGATTCATGAGTATCTTTATACATAAAGAGACGTTATCAATATTTTCTTGTGGAAAAAGTACTAGAATGTTATTTTTTGTGATCAGTAATATTGTGTAAATATAAGATACTATACAGATAAACATTGACATTATGAAATTTTATATCATGTTCTAGAATTTGATAAATTTAATAGCTATGGTTATGATGTTAAAATGAAATTCTTGTCCACTTGACATATTAGAAGTTTAAAAAAATATGACTTTCTGGTATATTTTGGAGTACTTAATGAAACAATGTGTACATGTGTGATAGATGTAAAGAAAATATGTAAACTATCAATAAATACTTTGGCAAGCACCTGTGGGTATTGACTTTGGAAATAGAGAATCTATTTGCTTTCTTTCCTGTTACTTTTTAGGTCGCTATGCATTTCAGATTTGGAAACCTCTAGAACAAGTGATCACAGACACTGCAAAGAAGATTTCAAATCCTGTAAGTTAAAGATGCCTTTAATAAGGAAATTCAATTTGATTGTTATTTTATGCCACATTTGATAATAATTTATAAAATGTCTTAGATTGCCTAGGGTTTATAGAAATTTGCTTCCTTCATTATATTTTCTGGGCTTTTGTCTAGTTTAATGATTTTATATCTTTTAAGTTTCTTGGTTACTTTTTTATTCCTGTTTTTGATATATAATTGTTATATTCCTTTTAATAGTATTACATCATCTGATGTAATTTATTTTCCTTTTCTAATTGATAGTCATTTACTCATCTTGTAGTAGTTTACCACATACTAATCCCTGCCAGAAACTGGTTCAAAAAAAAAGATACGGTCTCTGACTTGATGAGCTTATACAAGCATTTATTTCATGTTAAAATTTAAAAGTAGTTCCCTTGTATCATGATACCCATGCATCTCATATCGAATTGTAAAACGCCAACCCTGCAATCCTGTAGGGCTTACATATTCACCTTACCAGACATTATAGGGACTCTGTTGAGCTAAATGAAGAATGAAAGATAGTAGTACTGAGAAAACTTCAATGTGGTAAACTGGGTTGTGACTACTTCATACAATGCAAAGAAAGTCACTGAAGCAGTGCAGCAGAAATACTGACTTCTGGGAAATAGAAGCAGATCAGGAATAGATCAAGGTGACTAGCAGCAATTTGAGAATGATGACTTGTTTTAGCAGAGGCATTTGAGAGGCTTAGTTAGCTGTGAACAATGACCACACTTTCAAAGGATGACAAACTGACAAATAATTAAACTCAGGTTCAAAAGAATTGCAAGTGATTTTGCAGACCTCCCAGGTGCATGTCTGTGAATAGAGGTAGCTTCTGTTTATTTTCTGTTTCTCTATTTTATTTGGCTAATGAATTGGGTAGCTGTTTAGCATTCATTCAGCAGATATTCGCTAGGCACATACTGTGTTCCAGACACAGGGAGTGGGAACATAGTGACATGGGTGAATATATGTGTGCATACATTTTAGTTGTGGCAACTAAAGAATGAATAAGAGAGATACTATTTAGAAAATAGGGTAACTGATTAAAAGCTAAAAGCAGAATGTAATCTGTTAGATTGATCAAGGGAGATTCCTCAGAAAAAGTGAGGGAGCAGGCTTTGTGAATATCTGGAAGAGTTTTATGGGCACTTGGAACTCAGCAAAGATCCAGAGGTAATGATGAATTTAGCAGCAAGAATAACTCCAATGGAGAAGTTGAAGGAGTCCTGATAGGCTGAGCCTAGATCACAAAAGACCTATAATAAATTGTAAATACTACATTAGCTATGATGGAGCTTCTTTGGGACGTTTTGAGCATGGGGGCAATGTGATTTGCATTTTAGATATCATTTTGTCTACTGAATTTGAAGTAGGAGAAGCCAGAGCAGAAACTGAAACCAGCTAAGAGAGTATTGAGATCTTATTGAGACCGACTAGATAATAGATAATGGTTGTTTGAAGTAGAATAATAGGAGTGGAAGTGCTGACATAGTCTTTCCTTATGTTTATAAATAAGTAGGGAGAGAATTTCAGAAATCATTTCTATTAGGATGATTTTTAGCAGATGTAATTATACCATAAATTGAAGAAGTACATTATTTAACATTGTAAATGAAGAGACAGCAAAAAAAGGAAAACATTTTCATTGCTTTGTGGGAGCTTGCAGATAAGGTTGAGTCTTTGGAGATTGTAGTATAAACTGAGGCTTGGGCCTGCATTTAAGGAGAGGGAAATAATGTCTGCCTGTCCCCTCTCCTTTGATGTCTTCAGTTATAAAACAGGCCTTTCATATGTCTGCCCCCCCCCTTTTTTTTTTAAAGATTTATTTATTTATTCATATAGAACTGGGGTACAGGCCAGAGATGCGGAGGGTGAGAGGATTCACCAGAGACAGAGCGGGAAGCAGAACAGGCAGATCGACGAAGTACACTGCTGAGGGGAGCAGCGGGAGGGTCAGGAGAGGTCTGCCGCGCCTTGTGGTCACCTCCGGGGCAGGCGGGGATCGAACTCATGCGGAAGTAGCTTTTATTTCTCAGTGCAGTGCTTTAACCCGCTGCGCCACCAGGAAGGGATGTCTGGCCCCCTTTTATAGTACTACTTTGCAGTTTGCATGGACAAATTTTAGAATATCTTTATTGCCATCGTCTCTGTAACTCAGTTAAGCTGTGGGTTTATTTGGTTTTTAACAACTGTGTAAGTATTAATTATTTGTGGAAACTGAGCCATAGAATCTGCATGCATTATCTTGGATCTCCGGACTCCAAAAATGTAAAGCTTCTTAAATAGCATGCACTGCTTTCATTTTGTCAGTATGACAAAATGGAATTTGTCACTGAATCAAACAGTTACTAAAAAATAGGAACTGTAATCGTGTGTCATTGTTTCTGGTACTCAAAGGAGAACTTTTAGGCTCAGTTTCCTTTAGGTTCTTTTTTCATTAAACTTTATTTGCATCCTCTATTCTTTAATATCTTATTCTTAAACCTCATTTTTCTGTTCATCACATTTTTTCCCCCATTTTGCTGAAATGCTATGTAGATTCCTCCCCTTCCCCCCAGAAGAATGCATAGATAGTAAATAAGTTCTTTTCTCTTAAATAATTTGTTTCTAATGCTTTCAGTGTTAATTAGCAACTGCTGACTCCTTAAAATGTGGTGGAGCCAGTATCAGAGGCCTGCAGAAATCTCTGTGTCCTACATAACCTCTACTCTACATAATCTCAGCCAGATTTTCTGTGGTTTGATTTCTTAGTTTGCACTGGTTTTGACTTTCTTTTGTGTGGATTTTGGTTTTTGGTGATTTTGTTTGTTATTTAACTCTGGAAATTTGGGGGGTTATCTCTTTATTATTGATGCCTTCAAATGTCAAAGGAATTCCTAGTAAACCTTACCTGATGTGAAAAGTGTCTATCTTTTGTTCTGTAATAGTCTAGTGTATTTTTAAATATTTTGTTTTTTCTTCTTGTTGTTCCTTTACACCTGGAATTCTTAATGGGCAGCTGTTGGATCTTCAAGCTTATTTTTTATGCCTCAACCTTTTGTCTCTTTAGTTTTCATCTCCTTATCTTTTTGTTGTATATTCCACAGGTCATTTTCCAGAGCATAAGGTTGGCACTTAGTAGTCTTTTATTCTGTTATTCAGTGCATCTACTAAATATTTTACATTAGTAATTTTTTAATATCCAAGAATTTTTCTTTTCTTTTTTTTCATAGCATCATATTCTTTGCAGAGGTGTTATCCTTTTGAAATCTTTCAAGATACAAGAGTAAATTTTGTCTAATATTCTTTCACTTCCTGATTTATCTTCTTCCTCCAAAGTAATTTTTTCCTATGGTTCTATTCACCTGTAAATACTGGATTTGTTAAAATATCCAATGATCGTTTGTTGTTGGTTTATGTTTTTGAGGACTAAGTTGATATGTAAGTGACCTTCCTCAGCAATTGTTAGGCTTGCTTTATCAACTTAATTGAATGATAGGGTTGATGATGGACTGAAAATACAAATGTGGGTTGTGTCAACACTCTTGTCTTCCAAGTCGAGGATGCCAGAGGATACTTGGACTATACAGTGTTCTAGAGCAGCTGATTCTGAATTTATTTTCTTCTTGACTTCTGAGGGGAGGATCTTCTTTCCCTTAGTGATTGGGGTGGTTGTGTCTTCAGTGTGTATAGTCATGTAGCTTTAAACTTTTAATTTGCCTCTGCTAACCTTGTAGGAAGCTCTCAGATGGCTCAGTGTTCTTGTCCTAAGTTGGGCCGTGTTGATGTGACTAATTGGGAAGCAAATATATCAATAGATACAAAGTCTAAGGACTGAGCCCTAGAGAACTGCATTTATAGCTCAGTGTCAACAAGTCATTAGACAGAGACTACCCTGGGTTAGGGGGGCATGAACTTGGCTTTCTTCAGGTAAAGCATTTTTATGGAATATAATAGCAGAGTGCTAGCAGCAGCCCTGGAGTTGAGGAGGAAGTCCTTCTCTCTGAAAGGGATCTGTGTAGCATATAATAGTACTATATCATCTTTAATTTTTCTTTTTCTCATAGCCCCTATTCATTCCACTAAGCGAATGTTACATGTGCTTTTAAAATATCTCCAAAGTCAGCGTTTACTGTCTCATCTTCTACCACATTGGTTCATTGTACCATCATCTATTGCTACCTTTGTTATGTCTTTTTTACTGGGCTCCTGCTTCCTCTTTTGCACTTCTCTTTCTATTCTCCACATAGCAGCTCAAATAATCTGTTCAAAAAGATGTCACATCATGTTACAGCAGTGCTCTGGATGATACCGCTGAAAATATTATCTGAATGATTTCCATTGCTTACTAGGACCTCCACAATATGGTCTGAATTCCCTCTCCTGAAGTCTGCTCTCCTTGCTCACCTCTCCAGCCACATTGACCTTTCAGTCCAGTTGCCCACTCTCTTGTCCTGCTGTCTGCTATTCTGATGGCTTCCTCACTTTGTCAGTTCCTCCTTTTCTCTATCACTGTGCCTACTGACTAAGTTACATAGGTGTCTGCCATATAAATCTACTTTAAGTTGCTTGGTCTCACCAAGTTTATCCATTGTGATTATTACAGAACTTAAGAAAGTTCCAGCCTTTTGCTTCTACCAATTTCCGTTGTTTCTTATATCTTACTATAGAAAAATGAATGTATTTGAAAATGTAGAAAGTTGTTAATGTCTTTTAAATGTTTTTCTTGGTCATGATTTCTTGCAAAGAATTGCTGTTTAATTTGCCCACCCCCACTTCCCAATTTCGAGGTGACTATTAGTAAAAGACATTAGTCTTATTGCAGCTGGGGATTGAGGTCATAACACTCCTTATTTCTTGCTCTTTCTTTCCTTTACAGAGCCTTTCATCTTACTATAAAGGAGGATTTGAACAGCAAATGAGTAGGCGAGAAGCTAGCCTTATTCTGGGTGTAAGGTAGGTGTTCTGCATAAGACTGTTATGTGGTCAGGCTGTCTTGAAAAATGAAAAAAACATTCTGATAAAGTTACCTTTATATTTTAAATTATAAATAAGAAGCAGAAGAGAAAATGCTTAATTTTTACACTTTACTATTTCCTCTGAGAAAAGTTGTGATTTGCCTTTATTTAGTAGCAAGGGGTTATATTTGAATAATAAAGTTCCAAGGAAATTACTATGACACTTAATTCTTCCTGGATTCACTTTTATAATTTGATAATTGGCACTTTTGAATTATTCTTTTTTATTTCTAAAATTTGACATCTAGCATATTGTATTGTACCACCTTGCTGCCCATTTGTCTAACTTAAGACAGGAGAAAGTTAATGATAGTGTGTGATTGCTATGTGGTATCCTTTAACCCTTAACATTTAAGAATATATCCCCTACGGTAGACTTACTGGGGCTGTGTTTTATTTGTTTACATTGTGTTCTTTTAGACACTACTAAATTTTTTTGTGGGGTTTAGTTACAGTGTGTTACCTGCAATAAAAATCTTCTGGTGATTCATAAAAAAAAATAAGAGACGGAAACTCTCACTTAGAGAAGAAAAAAGGAAATATTGTGTGTGTGTGTGTGT